TACAATCTTTGTGCTTCATTTCTTTGTATATTCTTCCCTTTCCTGATAATCTTTTTAATGCATTAACTATTTGAACTGTAAAGAGTTACATTCTGGTGCTGTATCTGGATATTCACATGTGTAAAACCTCACATCCATTATAGTACCAGAACAAACAAAAAGACTTCTAATAAGAGCAAAAAGCAATGCTGTCTTGTGCAATGTGTTTGCAACGAGAGGCTTGCTTAAATGTACAGCTAGAGTTTGGGAGCTGCTCTTTTCTCTGTGATCTATGCTTGGCTTTATAAGAAGTTTGAAAAGGACTAATCTACTGATCTTAACTGGCATGTGCATAAACTCTAAATGATTTAGGGTGTTCTTCAAATATTCAGCAACAGTACAGCTATATGTTTCTGAAAGAAGTTTTTCTGTAGAGGTGCCACATGCATTTTAGGTTATGACAGGAAGAAAGGGAAGAGAAAAATAAACACATAAGAACTTAGAGCATTTTGAAAAGACATTCATTGCTCGTTCTGTAGCACTGATGTACAATAAGTTTTAATGCAAATGAATAATTTCCTTTCTGGTCATGATGCACTGCAATTTATAACCGTAACAGTAAACCGTACCATTTAGAAAACAGAAAAGCAGAATATGTTCTTGAAAATTGACAACAGTTCTAGTCAAAGATACCTAAGAGCAATTTTAAAATGAAAGATTAACATACCATTTTCTGTGTGCTTCCAGGTCTGGCAGAGTTGATGCTGGAAGAGACTATAATAACAGAGCAGAAGAAAACAGCATCCAAGTGGTTTCCAGTGGTTCAGCTGAGGTGCAGAAGAGAATGTAACATGACATAACTCACTCAAGACAACAGCAGAAATCACTACTCCATCACTATTTTTCACCTCAATTGCAGCTTGAGAAATAACTGAATGTGAAAGAACTGCTGCAACCTACTTCCTCTAACATTTGTACTTTAAACAACAGCATCTCATCTACTGCTCCACCCCCACAGAAATAACTGAGTACTCTTATTTTTTCTGCTTTAAAAAAATTCTTACGTTACTCATACATCCACGTGCTTTTATTCTCATATGCTTCAATATGCTCTCTTCTATGCTACTTTTGAACAGTTTTCATTTCAAACTGTGTTTTACCTAGATACAGTTCCACACCACAAAAAACTATAAAAACTACTCAAAAAAAAAAGGTTAACACCCAAGCTATGGGGAATTCCAAAGGACAATTGTGAAATATTTGGCCACAAAGTTTAAGATCAATCAGCAAGGACAAAAATGTGTTACATAAGCATAAGTCTGTCACTTCAAACTAAACTAAGATTTGAAGAAGCTCAAGTTCCTCCTTTCCCCCTCCCCCTCTTTTTGGTGTAAGCTGCATGAAAAGAGAGACAGAAGTTGGTTATTGATGTTAACAATAGTTCAGTTTTGGAAGTTTAGTCATTATTATTTGACATTCACTTCTGATGAGAACAGCTTCAAGAAGAGGGACGGCTCTAAGTTGAATACTCTATGGAAGAAATGTCTATTAAGTGAATGGGACTTTGGGGAAGGGAAACAAACCCAATGAGGATAAAATAGATAGTGGCAAGGGCACAGGAAATGGCATACAACAAGGTCAAAACTGTGTGGGAGAGTGTAGGAGGGCCAAACCTTAAATAGACTTATGCTGATGACAATCCAGCATTTCACAGAACATGGCTTCTTTCAGACAGTAACTCCCTGTGCCTCCATACTTACAAGCCTCCATGCTCACCAGAACATGTTTATTAGGTGGAGTTTGTGGGGTTTTTTCATGCCTTCCTTCTCCACATATTTTTCTTTACATTTGAAATTGCAATTTATAATTTCTCTGACTATAGTGGAGCCGAGAAATTCATTTCAGGTGATAGGAACCTGAAGAATAAACAGGGAAAGAATTTGTAATCATTCTTTCAAATTTCCTGTGTTTCATGTCTGAGTCATTTAGACATAAACAGGGAAGTTGTACAGCATCGTTGCCATTTCAATCAAGGCCTAGAAAAGGGCTTATTAATTCCCAAATATATTAATTCAGGACTATATTTCTCACCTTTGTGCCTGAATCCTAGAAGTAATGCAATGCAGAATAATTCTTCTTTACTGATAACTGGATTTTGCTTTTCAAAAGCACCGAGGTTTTCATTGGGTGCTACCATAACTAATGCAAAAATCTTACTAAAATCCTGCTGTGTGTTGAAAAGCCATTAAAGAAATTTCTGGTAGGAGGAAAACCTTCACTCTACACTAGCAAACACTCTACACTAGCTATTCTGCTCTGAATATTTCACTGTGGATGTGACAACAAAGGAAAGTTAGCTTCCACTCATATTATTGACCCTACAGCAAAGATAATGTGCTTAACTAATTATGAAAGAAGAGAATGATTTGACACAAGCTGGACTGTGTTGATTTCTTCAAATACCCAGCCATGACCCTGCTATGATAGCAACATCCCTACTCATGACACCAGAACATGAGTGTTTTGGTTGCAAGTGGGTTTTGTAATCCATGTCCAATCACCCAAACCAGTAATTATTTGCGGGTGCACAGGGTCTTTGGAGACCTTCCTTGCAGTCTAAACCCACAAACTTCAGATATTTTAATATCTAGGCAGACACTCAGCATTTTATTTTGAAATAAGGCTGATTCTTCTTTATATTAGAAACTTGGTGTTACCCATCTAAGAGCACAGGAGTTTCAATTCTCTACAGAGTGAAACTGCAGGTTTAGCTAAACATTAATAGAAACACAGAGCGTGCTTTTGCGGCTTTTTCTTTTTTTCCTTAAACCTATGAAATGTGGAAAGCAAAATACAGCAATATTTTCCTTCAAGAGTGGTGAAAGTAAATGCACTGCTGTTCAGAACTCCAGAATATAGTTTGGTTTTTGGAGGCACAATGAGTTACTGGTTTACTGATTTTAAAAATTCAGTTTCCCTCAGAAGTTGCACATAATCTCTTATCTCCTCTGAAACACAAAGTAACCTAAAACCAAAAAAGTACTTCCTACTACATCACATGTTAGGGGAGGACCCATTGGTAAGAGCAAATGTATATTGCTGCAGCTGAGTGAAGAATGTAATTTAAAAAAAAGCAGGAACCTGTAATTGCTTTAATCCTTCATCTATGAGTTTTGTCATCAGTTGGTTTGTGTAAGATTGGTGAATTCACATTTCCTTTTCCCCCCTTTGTCTTCTAAAAGAAAACTTACAGCAAATTGCTTTAACTTATTTATCAAAATTAGGATTCCACTGTGTTCATCTTAAATCTGGGTAGTTTATTGGCAGTCCTAAGGTCCTGCAGCAATGCCTTCTTTCTTAAGTGCTGACCCTTGCTTCAAGAATGAGGATACAACCTCACCTATTCATAGTTAATACAACATTCAGTCTAACATTGCATAATTCACCCATGAAATTATTCAAGAAAAGCAGTTATCTTGCTCAGTTTTTGAAATACATAAGTTGACTCTTCTAACTGATGTAGACAGATGTGCAAAAAGAACCAAAAAGAGAAATGGATAGCAAAATTGGGGAAATGATAACAAAATCACTTGCAGATGCCTGAAAGCTTCTGTATGTATGATCTGTGTATTTGATGTAAGCTCCTTGCTGACAGCCCTTGCAAAAATGTATTTGCAGGCACTAAATGAACCAAAACAATAAACAGAAGACTGGCATTGGAGGAGACTGGCCTACAACAAGAGCAGAGAAAGCACTCAGAGCTTGGTGACCATGGAGAAAATGACAAGGTCTAAAGACCAAACAGAAATTAATCTGGCTGCTGCAGAAAAAGAGAATAAAGTATTCCTATAATAACAACCAATACAACATTTGGTTGTTAGCATTAACAACCAAACAAGGGCTAAGGAGAATCTTTATCTCTGTTCAGTTTTGGGCCCTTCAGTACAAGAAAGACATTGAGGTTTCACTCCCCACAGTCCCATATCTCAGCACCAGACTCAGAGCATTTGACATTTAAAACCCCTGGAGTCTATGACTAGAGCTTCCAGCAAAGCTGCAAACATCAGATACTCTTACCAAGAGAGCCAAAAATGTGTACTTGCACTAGGGCAGTGGAACAAGTCAATATAAAGTTTATGTACAAATAAAAGCTAAATCCTTCAACTTCTGCAATGCAATGTGGTAATTTTTGTAAAATTTTGTGGTAACTTGAGTTCCTGTGATCTAGGTACAGGGATAGTATCTTAATACACATTACTCTTCTAACAGAAAGACTGAGAACAGTTCATAATAGGACTCAAAGACCTAATTACAAAATTACAACTTTGAGTCCCGACCCCCTGCCCTAATCCATTACTGACTGCATTACCCATATTTAACCATAAGCTGTCCCATAATACAACAGGAAAAATTGTTTTCATAATGATTTTCATTCTCTAATGTTAAAGCATTCATGATTTGTTACTGTAGCCTAGTTCACTCACTGCACAGTGAAGTATTGTGGTATTTTGTAACAGGAATTTGGAGAAGATCCATTGACTGTGGAAGCTGAAAACCCCTCCTGTATTTTCAGATACTTTTCAACCTGGTACGGACCAGTCTAAGTGCATTTAATTTTCTGTTTGGACTTGGCGCAATAAATCTTTATAATATTAACAGGAAAGCTTGTATAAAATTATTCCTATCATCACAATCAGGGAATGTCTAAAATGACAGAGGAAAAAATGAAATTTACACCAAACTGCTCATGATCAAAGCTTGGTCATTGTTTAGACAAGTGATATTAATAATACTGAAACATCAATCTTACAAGACAGCAACTTTACAGAATAGATGTTAAGCAAACAATTTAATGTGATGAGAGCTTTACAAAAGAAAACAGCAGCCCCAAATATCTTGTGGGGAAAAAGGTGAACATTAAGTGTATCAAACAGGTCATACTATTTATATGTTAACAGTTCCTCAAAATTAACATGACCTTTACATATTAGGGCTTACAAAATACTTTTCATGGTACTTAAACAAAAAACCCCAGCTGTTTGTCCAACAGATTAATAGATACAAGAAAGGTCTGTAACATTTAGCTTAACACAGAGAATGATCGTACACATGGACATCCTGTTAAGTTCTGTGAACAGTTTGTAGTTCTGTATAGAAAAATGGATCTGACACAGCAGTTAGCCAAATGTGAGAACAGGCACATAGAAGAACTTGCACAACACACAAGACTTCCAGACTCTCAAGAGAATTCTTAAGTTTTCTGCAAGATGGAGATTTATTGCCCATTTACAAAGAACAAATGGTAATTACAAGACAAATATGATAATTAAACATACAAGCTCTCGAATTGTACAAAGATAATAATTTCTCATGGTTGATGTGCATAGTTAAAAACAGTGCTAGCTTAAGAGACCTTTGCAAAGATGCAGTGGAATCCCCTGCAGTTACAAGGGGACGTGACTGAACAGGTAAGACACTGATTCACCATTGTGTGTTCTTCGAATTGCCTCTGCCAGGATCATGGAAATGTCAATAAACTGAAAGAAAAATTGAGAAGAAAAATTTGATGGCATGCCAAGAGCAATAAACTATGCAGTTTAGAGCCATATAAACAAACAGTCCATCTACCTTTGCAGCTTTTATTTCTAGAAAGTAATAAAACATTAAAGCTTAGGTATTGAATATATACATAATAACTGCAATAATACCAAATAAGAACTCAAAAATTGAGTAAGAATGAATTGACTATGATCACTGAACACTCATATTTTTGAGTACTTCTGACAAAGGGCATGTTGTCAAAAAGCCCCACTATTCTTGCCATCAGATGGCAGTGTCTGCTTGACATAAATACAATTTAAAGGAAGTACACCTTTTGAAGTGCTTGCCCTGTTTCAATAAATACCAAATGTTAAGCTTTTAAAAAATCCAGTAATGCATTTAAAACCTCAATCCTTTATGCTTTGCTCCACTCTATACTAAGGAAAACCTCCAAAAGGGACACATGACTTTTTAGAACAATTCCATTTGTGTTTTTCAAGGAAAAATAATGTCACCTAAGATTTCTGTGGCCTCCTCAACAGAATGACTAAAGTCCTACATGCAAATATTGTATGAATAATATTGATTAAAAAAAAAGAAGAAAAACCCATTCAATTTTACATTTGTCACTCTTTCAACAATCAAGCATACTCAAGGTGTGGCAAATACCAAATACTTTGAAGTGCCCTATTATATTACCTGAATGCCCTAAAAACCATTCTTTAGCATGTTTTAGCAAAATGTTTCTCAAGGCACAAATTCTAGCACCAGTGAGCAGTAAAATACAAATACTGTGTCTAAAGAAATGACATAACACCACTGTACCTGTATTTTTGGGCAATGTTTCATTTTCTCCTCTTGGGGGATTGTGTTGGTTACCACAACAGCCTCAAACGATGCATTATTAATCCGAGAGAGGGCAGGACCAGAAAAGATGCCATGAGTCAGAATGGCATAAACTTTGGTAGCTCCAGCAGACATTAACCTGTAGAACACACAACAATAGCATGCTGTGATGCATGTGTACATATATGGTTATAGATGAAGCCAGATACAAATCTCTAAAATGCATTTCACTTACGAAGTCTTATATATAAAATATCTAAAAAATAATTCTGATATTTGTATAATATAACCTGAAGAAGTTTGAATCGTCTCAGAAAAATCCCCAACAAAAATTATAAATTTAATTTAAAAGTTCTTATTTGCAGCAGTGTTACTAATCTACAATGCTGCACTTTTGACCATACCAGCACAACATAAAAATGAAATCCAGTACAAGCTTTCTATGTTAACCAGGCAAAAAATTAAATAGGTTGGATGGCAGTATTCACAACTCCATTGTGCCTCCATTATTGTCCACCTTTATTTTCATTTGCAATTCAAACAGTTCTGCTTGGAAGGAGTTTCCGAGGAAGAAGAAATGTTAATGATTAAAACCGTAGCTTACTGCAAGGTTGTGGGAAGACATGCTGCTGATCCAAGCACTCAGTGAAGTGATACATGAGGAGGAAAAACGTATAAATCAAAGAACTAGAACACCTTGTGAATGACTTAAAATATCCTAATTTAGTTTCTAATGGCCTCAATGCCTCCAGATGCTCAGCTATGTCCTACTGCTTCTCTAGCCTTAGAAACAGAGGCCCTGAGGAATTTTATCAGATCATCACAAAGGCACAGGAGGAAGCATAAGAGAGGAAAAAAAAAGACAAAACCACAGAAACATCTTCTCATTTTGAATGATTTAACAGAATTCAAATTTTCTGGTCATTTTCAGCACTACATTTAGTACCTGCAGCCTAGAAGGTATATCCATTACAACAGGGTGAGTGTGTACCAAGTGTGTGTACTTGAGTTTGTACTTAAGCAAGTTGATTTGTTGTATCTGAAAATATGTTCCTTAGTTCATCTGCTTGATATGCATCTAGGTTGCTGAGGCAAAAGGAGTTTAGGGAGTATTTTGGTGCATGGGTCTTATTATACACAAAATACATCCCACCTGGATTTGACATTAATGAAAAGCACTAGTTCATGCCAAGAACACGACACAAGGCAGAATCACTGAAGCAAAAGCATCTTTCTTAGTGAACATTGCAGATACATTGAAGGTGATTGACAGTTTTAGAATTTTGTCTCTAGAAATGTACTGTAGGAAAAGGAGTACTTCTTTCAAAACAGGAAAGAAATAAAGGTTTTTGACAGGAATTAACTTCTTCTATGCACAAGAGTATTAAAAAGATGTTGGCTAGGCAATTTGTGATTTTGATCTGCAAAGGGCACAGCCTAAAAGAATACTTTGAGGTATGATGCAGATTAGAATGCAGATAGCAAACAACTACACAACATCTCTGCAAAATTTCATCAAATTTCCATGAAAAATTAAAGACACACAAGACTATATGTGAGTTTTTGACATCCTTCATGTAGGTACAAATAGCAAGTCTGCAACTAAAGACTGTAAACTTGTGAGATTAACTTTACTTCAAACCACCAAGAACAATGTCTAACTCACTTTTTGCTTTCATACCATTTCCCACAGCATTCCCCTGTGGAAATCTGTATCTCGTAGCTTGGACAGGTATACTTTTCACTGGGTAAAAAACTGGTTGGATGGCTGGGCCAGAAAGTGGTAGTGAATTATTTCCAGCTGGCAGCCAGTCACTTGTGGGGTTCCCCTAGGGCCAAACCCATTTGACATCATCAGGGGTCTGCACAAGCAGAGTGGGGACACCCTCAGTAAGGTTTGCGGGTAGCACCAAGTTGGGTGGGAGCATTGATCTGCCTGAGGGCAGGAAGGCTCTGCAGAGGGATCTGGGCAAGCTGGATCAATGGGCTGAGGCCATTTGTATGAGGTTTAATAAGGCCAAGTCCTAGGTCTGCACTTTGCTCACAACAACCCCATGAAGTGCAACAGGCTCAGGGAAGAGAGGCTGAAAAGCTGTCTGGTGGAAAAGGACCTGGGGTGCTGCTTGAGAACCAGATTAACACAAGCCAGCCTTACTGCTAACCTGAAAAGTACCAGCATAAGGGCACCTGGAAAATCATAAATAATCCTTTCTACTCAGCTAGAGCCTTAGTTAGGATAGTGAGTCTACATTCACAAGCTCCTCTTCAAGAAGCAGAACAGCTGGAAGGAATCCAGAGAGTGTCACAATTGAGCAGAAGTTTACAAACCTTGTGGAAAGACTGAACAAACTCAAGTTACTCAAGTCAAGAGGGAAATGAGAACTCTTCAACCAACTTTCAGACAGAAGACAGGAAAACTTATGAAAGTTTTCATACCTCCCCATATGAAAGTAGTTTTATGCTTGTACAGATGTACAGTAAAAAGTAATATTACATTTGTATTGGACACTATGAAGAAAATACTTTGCAGTGTAAAATCCAGTAAAGCTTTGTTAAAGATTGCCTAAGAAGAATGGAAAGGCTCCATGATGAGGTTGAAGGAGGGAATGATTTTTGAGCTGTTGGTTCCTGCCTTGGAACTGTAAAGTGCACTTGAAAGGCCTAAGCCCTTCTCAAGTTATAAAATTTTATTTATTCTGTGCTTTTCCTAGGTACAGATCATATATTTCTGTAAATATTTTCTCAATTTCATGTTCTAAAGAAGGACACTGCTGAACCACAGAACTGTGACCCTATCAATTCAAGGGTCAGAATGAATTCATACTAGAGAGGTCAGGTTGGGTTATAGGCTTTGAGGACAACTGTATCCATCAGCTGTGCCATGAGTGAGAACACTGCAGTGAGACAGATCATAATAACACTTACTTGTCTGCTGCATGACATATTGTGCCACATGTGTCAGCCATATCATCAACAAGAATTGCCACTCTGTCTTTCACATCACCAACCAAGACCATTCTGTCCACTTCATTTGCCTTCTTTCTTTCCTTATGAATGAGAGCAAATTCCACATTCAGTCTGTCAGCAATTGAAGTAACCCTAAGTTATAGGAAGAAATACACCATGTTTAGACAACCATTTTAAAAGAAAAAACAGTCATACAAATGTTTTTGTCACAAAACACAGTTTTTGTCTCCTGGCTTTCAAATTACCACAGTAAAAACTTTTGCAAGGAATGAGACAGGTGGAAGCAATCTTAATTCATTGCTAATTATGAACCAGAGTGTCTTAAGCTATACCCCAAAAATCGGTTTTTTAATTGAGTTGACTCTGGTTTTCTGATATCAAAGCCAGTGCCTGGCTTTGAAAACATTTCAGCTATTCACAAGCTTTTATTAAGCTGCTGCAATACCAGTCACACTAGGTAATTTAAAGTAGGGGGAAGTAAATTCTAAGCCTACGGGAATGTGCACTTTAACACTCTAACTGGAAAATACCATTGCAGTGTTTGAAACCAAGCCAAAGGGGAAAAAAACCCAAACAAGTTAATAGTGATTAATAATTCTTTTCACAGTACTTGACTAGTAATCAAGTAGCTTACTTCATTAATAATTTCCTTAGCATACATCTGCTTGACAAAGATCTTTTAAAACTCTTCAGGGTGACCTCTGGTGGCCAAACAAACATCTAATAATGAACTTCACTTGTTACAGACTTCTGATTGCCTTTTTCCAGTTTGTTTTTTTACTATCTATACTAAATACAGTGAGAGTGAACTTCGAAAAATAAACTTCTATCATTAATTTGATAATGCAAAAATATTTGGTAGGGGGAAAAGTGCTGTCTTTTGACTTGAATTCTAAGCAAAGATTGTATTTTGCATTAAAAACAAAACCAACATAAAACCAAATGCAAAAATAACTGTATCCTGATAGGAACAAAGAAATTTAACTAAGTGATCTTTTAGAATTCTTTCTATGTTCTTCACATCCTTAATTTGATTAATCTAAAAAACAAAAACCAACTAGGAGTTCCAAATCATTACAAGATGAATGCTCACAACTTAATTGAAGACTCAAGGACTTCAATTAAAATCAAATTATGACAGTTTTTCACACTTTTCCCCATACTACATTTCAGAAATTTAAATTGCTATGGGCTTACAGGAGTCTTACTTCATTTGTCTTTGTTCCCTCTGCAGCAGCAGCATGAGCAATAAAACCTGAGAATAAGCATTTTGCCTCAATAGCATGCTTTATGACCTCACCAGCCAGCCTGCTTCTGAGCTTTAGCATTGGTTTATGCTCAATCAATACCAAATAAAACAGAGTCTGCTAAATGAGTAACACATGCTGTGAATGAAGAAAGCCTCCAATGAACTAAGTTTTCTATTTTTACCCTTTGCCACTCAAACTTTCATTCCCTTTTTCTAGTATTTATAGTGCAAAACTGGGGGTCAGCAGGTTTACGTCTGGAATGCAATAATGTAAAGAAAAAAGAAATGAGTCAAGCAAGCTCTTACCTAAATGCCAGCAGGTAGAGTGGGAATAGGCCATATGCCTTGACAGAGAAGGGAAGCTTAGGCAATTCCAGAGCGAAGCAGGAAGAGGTGCAGCAACTTGGCTAAAGAAGCAAGCAGCAGGGAAAATCTCTTCCCTCTGGTGGAGGGATTCAGGTAATGAGGCCATATCCAGGGAGAGAGAAAAATATCTTCTTTAGAGTATAGAAAGCTCCTGAATGTTTTTAAGCATGAACAGCATTGGAAGAAGTAGTTGTTCTGTTTCTACAATGCAGCTGGATTCATCAGTGATGTACCCTTTATCTTGCATAATTCATAGAGGAATATAGAAGACTAGACAAACAAGATCATTAATCACTAACTATATGTAAAACTAATTGGTTTAGGCTTGTATAGTACCTTTTTGCACCACCTGCATCAGGTGAGACTATGATACAGTTTCTCCACTCGGGAATGTTCTCTTTAATCCACTGCAGGACTGCAGGTTCTGCATACAGGTTATCTACTGGAATGTCAAAGAAACCCTAGTCCAAAAGAGAAAGAGTTTAATGAATATGTGTTTGTATCTCACCTGGAACGAAGATAAAGGAAAAGAATCAAGCCTTTGCCTATCATGAATGGCAGAACTTCATTAGTATTTTACACTGATCCAATTCTGCTTTTGATACTACTGTAAAATCCTGCTGAAGTCAAATAAACATTAAGGTCTTGAAAAATATCACCCAAGAGGAGTGAAAAAGGAAACAGGTGTTCTCAATTGATATAAAAATCAGGAAAGATGATCACCTTCAGGCACTCAAGTAAATTCATGCTAGTGAAAAGCTCTCGAAACATCCAGTGAATAATACTCAACTCCCATAAATTTCAACTGCCTGACAGTAACAGCAGTATTTCAACATGGGGAGGACTCAAACCAAAATGGAATCTAGGTACAGGTTGTAAAAACAAGAAATCTGGTTTAGACCTTTTTATTTATGTGACAGCCATCTAGCATAATAAGAAATTCTGATTAAATGGAGCGCCAGAATGGAAAGATTTGGTGTTTTCTGTAAAAAAGAAGTTCTCTTAAAACAAGGCACACATGAGAATGACAAATTATGTCTGCTCTGTGTCTGAGGCAAAGGTTTTGTGATTTGTTGGATTCATCAGTAAGCCAGATAAGGGTTGCCAGGCTCCATCTCCGCTTCTTTTAAGAAAATATTACACCCTTGGCTGTAACAACAAAACTCTACCTAGGGCAAAACTGTAATCTCTCACAGGGCTAAGATTAAGAGAATTTGCCCCAAACCAGTATATTTTATATTCTGGAAGCTCTTACATTAGACTTGGCAAATTCTACCAAAGCTCCAATGCACAACTATTTGAAGTAAGTGAAAAATCACCCCATAAAATTGAGACTGGTCTCTTTCTAAAATGGAGTTTCATTAGACACAGGTAGCAAGACTTTCTCTGAACCCTCACAGTTCTGTACACAGCCTTTCAAAATAATGACCAAAGCCACAGAGAATTACTATCAGCTTGTCACATTAATTCAGTAGAGCTTCTAGGACAGCAGGTAAGAACCAACCTGGATCTGAGAAGCATGCAAATCCATGGTGATGATGTGGTCAGCCCCTGCCACTGACAGCATGTTGGCAACAAGTTTTGCAGAGATTGGTGCACGGCTCTGAGAAATAAAGCACAAACATTTACATTTAAAAAATATTTTGACTAGATGCAAGGAATCAGAAGATTAGCTATTTTTCTTGCTTTTTTCCTTTACAATATTTGGAATCTAGATATGGAAAGCTTCAGAATTTTAGTCAAACCAGCCTGTCAATCTTGTTACTAGGGTTTTGAAACTCAGTAAAGCATTTAGGAAGATCTAAACCAGCTTGCACAGTCTGCCTAATAATGCTTTGTATTAAAGAGATAAAACTTGGGATATAGTTTTCCAATTCTTCTACTTAAAAGTTTCAGCTAACTTCACTTCTCTACTCCACAGAAACACTCAATTCTATCTTGTGCTAAGAAACCTTGCAAAATCTGAAGATGGAAGGCAAAATGGACCCAACTTTTGAGAACACTGCTTTAAAACAATATTAGTATCAAGCCTTTCTTCATAACACAGTAAAGCTTGTAGCAGATCCTTGTTGGCAGGGGTCTTTTACCCTGATTTTTTTTTAATTTTTATTTATGTTTAATTCCTGGATGCAATTAGGAGTCTAGAACTGCCAAAAGGCACAGGGGAGGATGAAGAAATCCTAAGTAGAAAGAATGAAAGAAGAATAAAAATCTTATTAGCAAAGTTAATGACAATGTCAAGAGGTTTTTAAAAGCATCAAGGATGCAGAACAACAAACAAGCAAAAAAAAAAGGAAACTGACTGGAAGTTACCTAACTTCTTTTCAGCTACTCCAAAGCTTTTTCATTTTTTTAAACTCTGTAAAAACCTGTGTTTCCCTAGACCGTTTTCTCTGCACTAAACAAAACCTCCTGCTTTCTTTTGCTAATCTTTAAATAAGGCTAATAGCTGGCAATAACATTAGCATGAAGGCAGAACTGCAAGTCAGAGCTCCCATCTCAATATCAGACTGCTTTCTGCTGGCACAGTATTCTCTCCTGCTACATCTCTTTATCAAACAGCCTCATTTCACCTCCCAGGAACTTCCTCTCCTTCCAACCCACAATTACAGAGTACCTCTGCTTTCCTTCCATTGATGCTCAAGGGCATAAGTGACAATGAGCTGAATCACTGACAATTTAGCCTGGATGCTTTTCCATCTGTGTCCTATCAGGAAGCCAATATTTTCATCAAAACTGTTCCTAGTTTAGGTGGACACTGGGCATTTCTCTGTTTTAACCTGCAGATTGACAACACACTTCCAGAATAGAAACTGAGATACTGCAGTCTTGTTTTATGGCCAGATCAAGTTTATCACCATCATTACTGAAATTCTTCATTTTGGAAACCATCCCTTTTGGTTGTTGTGTTTCAAAGAACATCACCACCATTTTGTCAGGGTAAGACACACAGAAAGCAGATGCAACAGCCAGCACTTCTCTAGATCTCTGCAATTCAGATGCACATCACTTTCAGAACTGAGTTCATCATCATTACTGCTTCAGCACAGTTGATTTTCCACTTACTGAGAACAACACTGCTCTTCATTTAAGTTCAGTTCTGTAAGTTGTCCAAAGCTTTCTGGATATTTCTATTATTAGTAGCAGATTTTTGTTCATGCCATTTGAATTCCTGATCACTTCATCACTTCAGCTCATTTTAGCACCTGACATTTTTAAGCTGGACTTCAAAATACTCTCAAATCTCTGTCAACATCTAACAAAAAAAATTAGTATCTACTCTTTTCATTCTGTTGCAGTGTTCTCTCACCAGCTCTTTCCAAAACTCTAGTTTAAAGCTGGACCAAGAGGTAAATCTGAAATGAGAGGTTTGCTCTCCTGCTTGTACTATCCTATCTTTCCAGGCTAGACACGTCCCTTCATGGGAACCTCATTCAACCTGACCTCATTATTCAGAAACTTGGATGATAAAGGTGAATGAGAACTCATGATTTTCCTTATAACATAGTTTGTAAGGTTCCCTTCTGATGAGAGAGGTGAAAACCCAGATTCACAGTATTCATTGTTCAATTCTTTGATGTAATTTTAGATTATTTTCAGAATTATTAGTGTGAAATGCAGCATTAGATTATTTACAGAAACGAAATTGTTAAAAAAATCACTTGAATTACCAGTGGCAGGAGGAATCCACAAAGCTAATATAAACAACACCACAAGAGTAACTGTGCAAAGGACACATAGCTGAAAGTAAAAGTTGTCCATTAAGATCAAAGCTCTGTTGCCTTTAAGCATCTTAGTACATTGTCTTGCTCAATATTCATCACATGCACACTGAACAGAAAAAAAAAAAAAAAAAAAAAAAGAAAGGAAATCAAAGAAAGCCCAAAGATTTATAACTGGAACTTTCACTTCCAAGAAAGCCAGTTGTGAAGTGTATGGATACTGAATGTTCACTAATGCATTACCCAAATTTATAATCTCAAAAATTAGAGATTTGCTTTGAAGCCTCAGAAATTGACAGCCATTATCTTGAATATCCAAATAATTTTTAAACTAAATCTAGGGGTTTTCTTGTATCAATTATTCCACAGGATTACTGTCATGGCCTAGGTGAAACACAACTGAAATCAAGAAGTGAAACTGAAAATGTTCCTAGTTATACATAATGTAACCCAGTAAGTTTCACCCTTTAAGGCCATATTAATGGAAATGCGTAGTGTTAGATAAAAAAAAAATAAATAAATTATACCTACCCAACGCTCCACGGACCCCTTCTACAAATCAAAAAAACAAAGTTACGTGAGCTGTAGAACACCAAACTCATCTGTCACTACTTCTAACTTATCTCAAAGGCATCTCTACAGCATCCTACATAAATGTTTCCTGCCCACAGCTTGGAAGGTTGGCATAATTAGAGGATGCATAAATGCAGTTATAGTCAAAGCACAGAAACATCTGAGCTATTTTTAAGTTTACCTAGCTTGTGCATCAGAAATATTCTAGTTTAGGGCAGCACTTGACTGAATCTAAATTAATTTACTGACTTTTTTATCATTCCCAGTAAGCCTTTGTTTTTGTTTTTTTTTTTTAATCTGTTTCTCATTTAAAGATAGTTCTGGTTTAGTGCTAAAATTTTCAGAGTAGATTAAATTGCTCAGACTAAGATTTTTACTACAAGGCCCTTTCCTTACATGAATAAATGAAGAGCACTTTCATTGCTCTCAGAAATCATAACTGCACCAGAGGTATGACAAATACATGCTTATTTTAAGCAGCAAGGACTCAGTCTATTTAGTTCATAATGAATTAAAGCCACTAACTTAAATTCAAACTAGAAAACAACATCCATGTACTGAAGATTATACTGCTTCAATTCAAAGTCAAGCAAACTACAGCAACGTCTTCCACCATAGAAGAAAATCTGTGTGTGATCATAGGAAGAAAATGGCTGGCACTTTACTGACACTTCAGGCAGCACACAAAGCTTGTGCACTCATGATGGGTCAAAGACCAAGTGATCTGATGCAAGCAGGAGGGAAGATGTCCCTGTCAATAAGCTGCCCAATGTTGACAGCTGCATTATAGCTTATTTTGCAACACAGAGGTCAACTACCAAGGTTAATTTCCAAAGATGGCAAACATTTTCTCAATTGCAAAACAGAGGGGGAAAAAAGCCCCCACAAACAACTACAACAAAAAATATATGCCTACAATTGTGGAACTCAGTGACACACAGAGAACAGTCTGGAAAAAAAATCTCAAAATCTCTATTAATCAAAATCACTTTCCAATGCATTTCTGAAATACAAAATGCTCCTGGATGGCATGCACTGTGCCACCACACTGGGGAGTTAAAATGTCTCTGGAAGTCTGCCACATGAAATTTGGATACCCTTGACACAACAATTTAGATGCATGGAAATTTTGGAATATACTCATACTTTTCCCACACCAAGAACTTAGAGGATGGTACAGCAGAACTTCCCAATATGAAGTGGGAAATCAAAACATTGTGAGATGCTTTCCCTTCTTAGCACCAAAATGCTCATTGATACCCTTTCAAGGTCTTTTGATATAAAGTATTTCAGCCCTTCTGATCAAGGGAAAGCATCATCCACTACAAAACACAGCAAAAATGAAGCACCAAGAGATGTAGGCATAGAATAGGTTCTTACATTTTAATCCCTGAATTCCATTTTTGGAAGTATAGCCAGCAGACTTTCATTGTAGTAGTATGGTACTACAGAGCCTGCACCTAAAGAACTAATATACCAGAAAATAATTTTTTTACTTTTGTTCTTAGATATCTAGGCTGACTATTACATATTTTGTAATAACTGCTATTAGTTTTAGCTTCTCCATTACTTCAGTCCTGTTAGGTTTTTAATCTAAAAGAATATAAAAATCAACAGAAGGTTTGCAGAATGGTTTGATGCCCAATGTGAAAAAGAGGGGGCAGTCCATTTATAAGAAGTAAAGGAGAGAGACAATTTTCCAAAAACACAACCATTGCAATCCAATCTTTAAAGCCAAATTCACATTTCTTATTACTTCTTTTCAAGTGAGCTTAGGTAAAAGTACCATTCATATAACCTCTAAAGGGTCTTTTTTGTACATATAGTAGAGATAAAGTCCAGTTTTCTCTTTTTTAAAATCAGTCTCACTTCCCACAGAGGGTTTGTTACTGTGTTACCAACCGGGCTGAACTGATATATTCATCAGTTATGACACCAAATTCAGGAAAAGGGCAATAAAATCAGTAAAGCATTTATAGGGTTTCCATACAATTTCTTGTCTTCGTAAATCAAAAAAAAATATTACAGATATAAATTTTTTAAAATCTGTCTGGCAGCATAAAATAATGTTTTGGTTAATTTCTGTTATGTATTGTGGATTTTATCAGTTCCTTCCATTTTGCTCTGTTTAACCATCTAGGAAAAAACCTACCCAACATAATTGTTACAGCACTTTGAATTCAGTATTTAATTTCATGCAAATTAAAATGCTTAAAAGGTGTTCTCTCCACATTAATAGGGATTTAAAACCAAAAAAAAACTTTGAAAAAGCAGGATAAACAATCCCATAAAATGCAGTTTGCTAGCAAAGTCCTCTGCAATAGACCACACACATAGAATATATCTATATTTGCAAACTGAAGGCGTGCCAATTATCAATGCACAAGCAAAAAAAACTAATTTATTGTCTTGCTCCATCCATTGTGGATAAACTAATTGAATATTTTACCAAGAGAAAAGGGGGGGGGGGGAATCAAATCTTTCAAATCACTTAAATTGTTAATCTCCAAAAATTTCAAGTGAGCAAAGTGAATAGAAGCCTTCCAAAATGACAATTCTTACCTACCTTGTCTTTCTTATCTTGCCTGGCATATGGAAAACATGGAATTACAGCAGTCACTCTGGAGGATGATGCAATCTTGCAAGCATTGATCATGATGAGCAGTTCCATTAAGTTGTCATTTATTTCTCCACAGCCACTCTGGATAATATACACATCTTCCCCTCTCACACTTTCACCAATCTCTACACTGAAAGAGCAGGAGATGATCATTTCAACACTTGAAGTACTGGAAAGGCATTACTAAAAAAATTTTAAAAAACCCAAAACAGCTGTGTTTTAACAAACTACCACAGGTCTTCTGTAAACTTCCCATTTAGAGTAGGATGATTTTTACAGCAATTTCCATAAGAGCCTGCTTGACAATTTAAATATAAGCCAGTATGGTCTTCATCAGGTCAGCACCAACCAACAGCTATAAAATCTACACCATGATGTTCAAGTAAAGTGTTTTTAAAAGACAAAAATCTTACAGAAAAGCTAAGAAGGGTGCTAATCAACAGCTTGCCACAGCTCAACTCTCATTTTGTGTCAGTTCTATTTCCTCTGACTGTGCTTACGTGCATTGGTTCCTTATGTGAGTATCTAAGTTTTTTTGTTCTTCCACAGATTTCAAGACAAATCCTGGGATCAATCACTGCTCACACCACAGAATTCAAAAATTAAATTGAACTTAAACAGGAAAAATAAAACAAAACTGTTGAATGTGTAATCCTTTCTCAATTCTAGATCCAAGCAAAAGACACCTACTGCTGAACCACACTAACTTTTCACACCTGTTACTCCAAAACTTACACATAAATATAACAGAAAAACCTTTGTTTTTCCCTAAATCCATGTACTATGTACACAAAACATACAGACTTCCTAAATAATTAAGTGATCAGACCGTGCAAATCCATGCTCTACTATGTTAGTCTCAGTTATTAAATGCTGGAATATATTGAACCCTTATTTAAAAGGTTGTATCTGTACCCAAGACACAAATAAGCTGAAGTTTCTGATTGGAAACCATCCAAATGGCCCAGATGTGGGTAGAATAATTTCTCTAATGGGTCCCTCAATGCTGAGGCTTGCTCTAGTCAAACATAGTCCAACAAGTTTTGTTTATCAGCTCTCAGGGTGCTATGTAAGACTCATGAGCTTTCTGCAGAAAGGAATTTACTGCTTTTAAACATCTTAATGATAAACACACATTTGATTTATCACTATCAAGATAGTTGAGTACATGCTCTCAGCTGCCCTATTTGAGTTCTCTGCAGCCTCAAACTATCCAAAGATCCTGTATTAATTTTTCTCCTTAACTGATTACATTTTTTTCCTAAGAATGCTACAAGCAGGATTCCTTAAGGTCAAAAGAAAGCAAATCCTCAAACATCAGGTCTCTGGAAGGACAGAGGTGGTCAGGGGCACCATCATCTGCAGATATATCAGGAAACCTTTCTGAGGCTTTCATTATTCCACAAAGACAACAATTTTGTGACTAAAAAATTGTATTTCCCTCTCTAAGTTTTTGATCAATGGAATGAGGCCATTCAGAGAATTGTGTTTTGATTTAAATATTTTCTTTGTTTCCCTTTTTGAAGCTGGACAAGTTTTGGTCAACACAACATTTTTCCAGCAAGATACTAAATGTGATACATGATTAGAAAAAACTAGCCAGGCTTAAGTAGGAGCCCTCCTGAACACAAACCCAGCTCCATGTGAGGAATCTACTCACAAGCTTACAGATGTAGCTGCAATCATTATTATAGCTTTGTGGTTATCATGAGGGCTTTAAAAAATTCTAATTGCACCCTGACTCAGCAGTTACACAGACCTGCTTTATAATGAGTCTTGTCTCGTACCACACCTTTGGAATATGCCCAAAGAAAAATTATTTTATTACTTAAGAAAAAAAAGGAACAGCTAATTTAACAGTCTAACATTACATACTAGGAAAAACATTGGCTGAGTGACAAAAGTATATGATCTTAGTGTTCACTATATACTGAAAGAACACTTGGAGTTGTTTTACTCTTTTTAAAAACTGTCACTTCTATGCACATCATTAAAAAAATAACAGTTTTCAGAAGGTCAAGGAATATACTCTCAGATAAATATAGGTCTGGTTAATACTATGTTATTTTTCTATTGTCACTAATTGTATTTTTTTCTTATGATCTTGGGCTACCAATAAACATCAACTTGTAAACAACTTAGAAAACAAAACACGGAACTTCTTTCTCTCTTCGGGCATTTGAAAAAGAAGTGTAGCTATGTTTTTAAGGCTAGAATGACATACTTACTTGTCACATAGAAATGTGAGTAGTCACATTTCCCAGTCAACAAGACAGAGCTGTACAACAGATCAGTATCTCTTATTATCTACTGTCTCAAAGATTGAGAGGTATTGTGTGGACTCAACCAACAGATACACACAGAGCTGCCTATTTCACCTTCCCCAAGCCAGAGAGTAAAAGATAACCAGTCATTGTGTTGCAAGTGTTCCATCAGATACAGCCTGTACTAACCACACTGGTGGGGGTTTGGGTGGAGGGTTTGTTTTGTTTTTTGTTTTTTGGTTTTTTTAACTGGAGGGAGGGCAGGGAATTGGCAATTAGGATTTGTTTTGGTTTGTGGGGTTTTTTTGCCCCATCCTTTCTTTTTTTTTTCAAATTCAGGCAACCAATAAAAGACTATAAACTACAGAATCAGGTATTTGAATGTTGTATTTCAAGTATTTATTAGACAACACTAAGCTAACTGAAGTCAAACTCTGTGACAGTTATCTTACTAACATTGCTACTAAATTCCCCCATCTATAGCATGACCTTATTAACTGTTTATGAGGTTATTTAAACAATTTCACATAGTCAGGACACAGAGGAAGGACACAAAAACAAGCTCTTGCCTCAAGATTACAAGCTCTGTTTGTTTTATGCAATTTAATCAAATTCACCTATTTGGTAACAGTTTAAATAAATTTCTGTTCAAGAAGAGTCAACAGAACCTGCACATTAAAAGCCCTGACACCACACAATTGTGTTTAAAAGGGAAATTTACAAAATCAATAGCAAACAAAAGTAATGAACTCTGAGCCAGATGCTTGGCATCCAGAAGCACAAGGCTCGAGCTGGGAAAGATACACATAAGATAGGACATGATGAATACCAAGTTTAAGTGTTGGTATCTGCCTTCAACTTGCAAAGGCTGATTTGAGTGTTCCATTTAACAAGTAGAAACTTGGACACACTAACAACCATGAATTAAGGATACAGCATAAAACCCACTTAGGTTACAAACATATTTCAATGGCTGAAGCATCCATTAAGCAAAAATCAGAATCAGGAGTAATCACAGATTGAGATCCTTTTGAGCTAGATTTATAGAGCAGTCCTAACTGAACTTAGTGATGGGAATTACAAATTTGTATGTTCTAACCAAAAACCAAGCAGCTGTGGGGAAACAGGGGATTAAGTATGTAGGGCCAGACTACAAAGGTTAATAATGTAAATACATAGCTAAGATGTTCAAATTATACACTTAAAAGGGCTCTATGTATTTTTAAAAATAATTACAGCAGTTTAAGTTTCTAGCCATGCTTATAAAAAGTAAGATTTCTCAAAAAAAAATAGATGCTAAAAAGGTAGATGTGTACTTCAGGCCCTTCCAACACCCAGAGAAGAGGCCAAAAATGAAGGTCCAGAGTCCTCATACAGTGTGCAAATGCATCAATATCTCAAAAGTGATCAAACAAATCCACATGCTGAGTTTGCAACTCATTGAAACCCAGCCAATGGCAAGCACAGAGCAGCAGGGTGCGTTTGACCTCTTACCTCGGGGAACACATTTCCCAGAGTAAAGTCTTTCAACCCAAGAGTTTCAACTTACTGGGCAAATATTTCATCTGATGTGGTGTTACATCATAAACTGAATACCAGCAAAGCCCAAAGCAAGAAAGAAACAATAAAAATGCCAGAGCTGGTTTTAAGGCTACAGGGATGCCAGATCTCCTGGCACCCATGGTGTCCCCTCAGCTCTAGGCTTTTCCACAGTTCCAAGACAGCCCTCTGCTACATCTCCATTAACAGCTGCCCAGCTCTGATGCACAGCACTGGTGTGGTAAACACCAGAAGATAGGAAATATCTTGTTACCCTCCACTCTGGCATACAGCCTGCCACTGCAAGAGGAAAACACCTTTTCTTGAGCAAGTTCTGGGTTTAACAACATGCAGCCCAAAACTACCCTCAAACATTTGGAAACAGAAGTCTAACAAGTCTGAACATGCACAAAAACTCTTCAAAGGCTGAGTACTAAACTCTGCACCTCAGGACACCTGGGACTGTCAGCCATTATCCACACATATTGGGGGGGGGTTTGTTTGGCTTGCCTTTGTTTTATTTTTCTTGGGGGGGTGGGCTGGGGGAGGTGGTGTTGTGGGTTTGTGGTTGTTTTTTTTTTTTTTCTTGTTTTGTTTGAGTTTTTTTTTGGGGGGGAGGTTGTTTTTTAATTTCAAGTATTTAGCATCTACTCAAAGTTAAAAGTGCACCGCATATGGCAAGGTCAAATAAGTGGAAGTCTCAAACCAAAAACTTTAAAGGATTTGGGTCCTTTTCCAATTCAGAGAAATGAACAGTGCAATAAATGGCCATATTTGCTGTGTCTTCAATTCCCTATACAAACAAAACTGTTGTGGCTTTAACACATACAGTGCGCAGTCCAGAAACAATTTTTACCTTCTCCAGCCAAGCTGGTAAAATCTATTTCTCCAGCCTCCTCTAGCTCATGACAGTGTAAGCAAGCTGGGAGAGAGGGAAACAGCTGTCCCCACTGAGAGAGGCAGGCCACAACCAGCCCAGCTGGGAATCACCTGCTCAGCATCTGGGCAGTATGAAGAAACACTTCCCATCCCCATGTGTCCATAGTCCCTCCTGCCTTCAGCTGTTCTAACACCAGTTTGTGACCTGAGCTTGCTCATTCCATGGGCAGGGATCTGCAAATACCAAAGCATCTCCTCAGGGAGGGTGATACAGCTCATGGCTCCACACCAGCTGAGCCCAAAAGACCAGGTTACATGAGATGCAGTAGAGTTAAGGCTCATCTGAGACAACTGCAGGATGCTGATGGGGGATTAAGAAGGAAGTCTTAAAGCCAGGTGACAATTTGTAAATCTCTAGGACATAAGTTTCTAGGTTTGCTCTTGGTTTTTTTTTTTCAGTTACTTTCTTCATGGAACAAAGTGATTTCATTTTGCCACTTTGTGTGAAATACAAACTCAAACCCATCCTGGATTCTCCAGGGAAGCATCAGCTACTTTTTCCTAACTTCAAAGATCACATTTCAGCCCATGAAATCAAGTTTCATTTACTCACAAAAAAATGGCTCTCATATCAACAGCACAGCTTTTCCCATAAAGCAGCCAATGTCCCTTTGTAGTCATTCCATATTTCCTTCTGCAAAAGCTAAATTAGATTCACTTTAATTTGATATTTCTGAAACAGTCCAACTTCAGCAGTTGAATAAGGCTGTGGGTAGGAAGCCTTCAAATTCACACGTGCCAGGCAGGACTTCAATTCCTTTCCTCTTGGATTAAGAAAATCTACAAGATTCACTTCAGCCAGTGAATCTGACAGCAAGAAGCCAGGAATCTCACAGGAATGGGTGGCAGCACTAACCATCTTCCACTAGGAAAAATGTGTGCAAAAGAATGCCATCTGAGAGTAGTTTCTCCATTCTGAGAACCACAGGTATATCAAGGGCAGAGTTAAAATAAATAGTCTTCAGAGAAGGAAGAATACCCTACCCTGAAAGAAAATAAAATTATTTACAAAGTAATACATTTAATAATATTTTTTTCAATTGACTCACCAAAAATATCCTCACTGGGATTAATTGTATATTAAAAATATCCTCATTGGAGTTTAATTGTACAGCAATTCTAATTAAATGCCACCTCAGTGTATTTGAAGAAAATTTTGCAAAAGGCTTCAGAATGTTTAATATCTGTATGCATCTGCTACATGTCAGTCAAACAGTTTCATGATGCTGAGGCTACAACAGCCCTCCCTGTTTAAGGACTTCTTTCTTCTTTCTTCAGCCTCAAAACTGCTGATGACAGTTGGTTTGTGGGGTTTGAAGAAGATAAACTAAGCCCCCACTGCAGTCCTTATCATTTTGCCAGATAAATAAGGTGGTGCCACCGAAGCTCCTTCCATGCCACTGTGGCTGGCACTTAACTGACACACAACAGAGTTATCATCCACAACCAGAGCTTAGTGAGGAGCTCTGGTGCTGCATTTGGTAGGGCTGCCTGACTTTAGTAACCAGCTGAAGGAAAACATTTCCATACAGTTTAAAGGGAAGGAAGAAAAAAATGGGGCAGTGATTGAGTCTGGCAGCAATTTCCCCACTTTCTCAGCAAAGGCTTTACATTTACCAGCTACAGAACCTGAAAGAATATTGATTGCCTAAATCAGAAGATGACTGTGATATTATTGCTAGACAGACCAGTCTCTGTACAGATAAAAATGAGGAGCCTTTCCTATTTTAAATGTTCTGGAGCTGTAAACATACAGGCACTGGATGTTTAGCCACAGTGCTTGTCAGTGGTGGTCTTATCCCTGGCTAACTTCAGCATCAGTTTCTCAAACCCACTTACAGCTGCTGAGAACTGGGACTGAAACCTAAAGCCTGTTTCACTTAAAATATAATGCAAAATATTTAGTGCAAAATATTTAATAACTCTTCCCTCCACTCTATTCTGCTAGCCAGACTAATTACAACTCTCAAGTGAAAGGCTTCCAGCTAGGACCTTTTGCACAGATTTAAGCCTGGGGCTGCACACAGTTGTCAATTTATGCACCATTTATATTTAAGAAAATGCAGCAAGTAGCAAAACAGAGTTTTGAACAAAAGGTAAATCTTCTCTGCAACTTGCTAACTTAACAGATCTGACAAAACAAGAGTTTGACCCTCAGGCTCAGGCTTATCTGTTTGCATGGGGGATTGCTGGAGTGCCACTGGAAGGTTTAAGGTTCTTTGAGCTTTTTAACTATCAGGTTTTAGTATTCTGCAATACTGCAAGTGTATTTCATCATGCCAATACACTTGTCTATAAATTTTAAAATGGAAGAAAAATTTAAAAAAGTACTGCACCGGAGTCACTGTATATAGGAAGAAGTCATTTTTTGCTTATATACACACACAGTTTAACAGTATAGAAAGACTGAAAATCCAGATCCCTCAGCAAAGAACCCCTCTGCAGAAGTATCAACTTTACCTGTAGTTTAATTTCAAATACATTGTTGAGGAATTCTCTTACTATTATTGCTGGGGATTTTTTATTGAGAACATTAGTCTAGAAAACTGGAAAGTCAACATCCTGAAGTTAGTTGCTAAGAATATTGAAAAAATTACTTGAAATAATATGTAGTGGACACAACTTTACTTGCTGGAGGGGAAACAGGAAATTCAGATTAGACTCAAAAGAAGTTGTAAAACAAAACAGAAAAACAAATAAAATCCAAACACTTAAAGGTTTAAAATATTAAGCCATTTTAATTGAGGGAATAAAATAAATAAAAAAAGATAATACCAGCATTGCCATGTTGCAACAGAAACAACTAGAAATAATGTTTCTAATAAATACATTCTGCATATGTGTACATCACTACTTGCCTAAAAACATGAAGTGGCACTACCAGATTAGCCAAACCACTGAGATACTGCAGTCACCACTGCCTTCTTTTTTATGGTAGAGAGAATATTCCATACCTGGAAAAATAGGTGTATCCTGAAGCCCAGAATTTAATTAACTTATCTTATAAAATAAATATGCAAATTGAGACAAGTTTCCACCTTGGATGAAATCTAAATCCATTTAGTTCTGGTGTTTGCTGTTTAAAGCACAGATTAAGATAAGTGTCTCTGGAGAAGAAACATTAAAAAAATTAGACAAGTTAGCAAGGAATTCATGCAACCAAATACACAAGTTAAGTTTTATCATGCAGAAAGGAGATCAAAGAGCAATAAAGTGAGTATGGGGCTGGAAAGAATTGAGAGAAGATTTAAGCTTTCATTTAATCAGGAATGAATAGAAGAGTTAGAGTGTGCAAACATTAGATTGCATAAACACCAATGGAAGAGGGTTTATAGTAATGCCAGTGAGCATAACTAGAACAAGAGCAACTGCACTGAGAATGCAAAAATGTAGACAAAAAAGGACAAGCTTTGTGAGAGCAATTTTAGAACACATCATGATAATCTTTCAAAGGAAGCAATGAAAACATGCTTTTTCAGGAGATTCAGAACAAGAACAGATGAAAATAAACACACAAGAACCTCAGAGACTAGCCAGCTATTTACATCAGGAACTTGTGTTTCAGAATCAGCTGGCAGCCTAGACTCACATACCTATACAGAGGAGCAGTTGCAGTCTTACCAGCTCATGGGGTGAACATACTACTGTCGCCTCAATTTAAAATTCTTCATTAAAACTGAGCAAATTAAATAGGTGGATCAGAAAGCTAAGATAACACACTAGCAAAGAGAGGCAATACTGATAGAAAAAGCCCTGGCAAACACATTCCCAGACTCCAGGTGAGCAAGCTGTCCTCATGGTTTCACACAGGATTTTTTGCACTGTTACCAGTTACTTTTGGTGTTTGGCTGGCTGGGAATCTGGAATGACTGCACTTTGAGGAGTAAGCCAAGGCCATCACAACAACCTGTATCACTCTCACGCATGACCATCAGTCTTGGACTAGGGAGTGGAGCCCTACAGGAGCTGTAATGGATCCACCACACACACACCTGGCTGGGCTGCTAATGCAAAATAAAGACCAGTTGCAACAAATTCTGCAAGTGTAATTTGACTTAGATGCTTTTAAAAATCTAATCCAGCATCCTGTTTTCATATCTGCCTGTATGCAGATATAGGTAGGTAAGTAGGGAAGACCTACTTAAAAAACTGCACGGCATACCGTAGTTCATAGGATTTTTTTTATCTCTCGGTAGATAAAGTTCATCAACTGCACAGTTAATTATCTGCGAGCGGCAGGATGCCCCTGACATCGCAGACGGGCTGCCTGTGCAAACACCATTCCCACCGCACAGGAGGGAGGATGCTCCTCACCCGGCCAGGGCCGTGCCAGCCCTCCTCCGGCCCAGGAGCTCCCGACGGGAGCGCTCCCGAGCCGGGCACAAGCCCTGAGCAGGGACACCTGCGGTGCGGTGCTTGTGCAGGCGGGGGAAGGGAGGGGGCACAACCAGGAGCGAGTGCCGGCTGGGACAGCCCGCACCGCGCCGGGCGGGACACACGGCCCGCGCCGGGCTCCCGCGGCTGCACCTGCACCGAGCCGTCCGTACGCGGGTCCCGCACCCGCACAGCCGCCCTGGCAGGACCCGCCGCCAGCCCGGGGTGACAGCGGGGCGGGTGACAGCGGAGCGGGCCCCGCCGCCAGCCCCGATGACAGCGGGGAGGGTGACAGCGGAGCGGGCCCCGCCGCCTCAGCCGCCGGGCGCGGGGGTGTGTCCGGGGTGCGCCCGTGACGCCGGCGGGGCGTGGGAACGGGAGGCGCGGCGAGGGCCGGGGCCGGGGCACGCACCTGGTCTCCTGGTTGCTGAACTTCTTGGTGACCACCTTGCCCAGCTCCAGCCCGAGCCGGTCCGCCACCCGCTGGGACAGGTCGTGGTGGGAGCTGCCGCTGAAGAGCACAATGTTCGGCATGGCGGGGGCGAGCGCGGCGGGCGGGCGGGCGGGCGAGGTCGGGGCTGCGGCGAGAGCGGCAGAGGAGCGCGGGCAGCGCGGTGCGGGGTCAAATAGCGGCGGTGCGGGCCCGCCCCGCCGCCCGGAGCGGGAGGGACCGGGGCGGGGCGAGCCGGGGGCGCCGAGGGACACAGGTGTGGCCGGCCGCCCTTCGCGGCCACGGGGTGGCGGTCGGGGGGGTGGCTGCCGCCGCCTCCTCCTCCTCCTCCTCCTCCTCCTCCTCCCCGTGCGAGCCCGGTGCGGTCCGTGCCCCCCAGCCGCCGCTGGAGCAGCGTTCGGCCGGGCCGCTCCTCAGGCGGGCAGCGCTCTGCCCGCGCGTCGCTCCCGCGCCTGGAGAGAGGCACGAAAGGAAGATCCTCACGGGGGCTCGGCTGCCTACGGGATATGTGGTTCCGATGACACCGGCACCTAAAAAAAGTCGAATACAGCTATAGCTAGGTTGATGTGGGGTTAGAGATCTTACTGGTTTTACTTAGCAGAGCTGTCCCTAAATAACCCGTGACCGATTCTGTGTAAACGCTACACATTTTCCATTAGCTTGGTTTTGTCGATTGTTGCTTAGAAATATGCTCATAAGCAAAGTGCTGTCTGAAAACTGACTAAGATAAAAAGGTTTTAGCTTTCAGGTAGAGCTGTTTTAACTTGTATGTATATAAATAAATAGGTTGCATTGGATAGGTAACTTCAGAACCACCTCAGTTTTCCTGTCTTACGCATTTTCTTCAAAGAGCAGGGTCTGAAACACACTGTTATTTATGTTCTGTCCGTAGGATAATTCATGACTAAATAAACTCCATTGTTGATTAGTAAATTTTTCAACTGAACCTGAAGTCCAGTAAGGAACTTCCTCAAAAAAACCCCAAACAAACAAACAAACAAACAAAAAACCCCTCCCAAATTAAATTAAATGTTTTAGTCAACAACTGGGTAATAAATGTTTTGGGTTGTGGAGCTGGGGGTTTACAGGTTGGGTTTCTGTCATTCCTGTTCTTTGGTGGTCCAGATGCTTGCACAAATTAGAGATACTTCTTGCTAAGTATCACATCATTGTAGAGGGAATATAAATAAGGGATTCTGCTTATGGACAAGAATGGAAAATATAAGCATTTTGACTTAACACAGCATAATTCTAGAATCTGTTCTGGTTTTTGATACATTGCCAATACCTCAGCGTACAAAGACCGGGTTTTGGCCCACTCACCCACTTGCCCTCTTTGTATTTTCTTTTTACACAATGAAAAAGAAATGTGTTTAACTGTCAGCACCGTAGGCTCATAAAGCATCTCAAACTCATATTTGTGATTCTTCCAGTTCATACATCTTTTTCAAAGACTAATTTTGTAGGCTACATTTTATTGAGTTTCTTGCAATTGCAAATTTTGCCCACTGTCCTGATTTTGTTGTGATCTTTAGTACTGGTTAATCTAAAATCTTTAGACTCTGTGACAGGACATCACAGCTGCCAATAAGACTGCAAGTTTCAAATATGTGAAAAAGGAAATTTGTTAATATGACCTCAGGTTTATCAGAACTAAAAACATTGCTAGACAGAAAAGGGCAATTAAAATTCAAAATAACATAATAAAGGAAAGCCGTACTTCATTGTCCACTCAGTAACACCAGAACTTTTAAAATGATCTGCAGAACCAGAAAAAAGACAAAAAAACAGCTTGGACTGCCCATATATTTGCCAGTACTGAACCTTACAATGAAATTGGTGATTGTCTTGATCCATTCTTTTTTCCCTAATGCATCGTTAAAACTCTCATCCTCATAATTATTATATATTCCTTTATTCACTGGCTTAGCAGGATATCCAGACATTTCTTTTTGGCCCATTAAAATTTTATGCCCAACAGGTAAGTAGTGTTTATCCAGTAGCTACAATATAGAAACTGCATATTAAAAGTAGTCATGGAGGATGTCATGCAAAAGAAATAATGGTGATTGACATGCTAAGTGTGATTGTCTTTCCCTTGGTGGTCAGAGACTAAAATAGCAGACCAGAATTCAAAAGTTAGCGCCATCCCTACTTGAAGCTTTGTACTTTGCTGAAGAAAATAAAAAAACACTCTTTTGATAAATGAAAACCATAAGGGAGGTACCTGCCGGACAAGAGAAATTAAAACTCCCAACCAGCAACTGCTTTCTTCCTTTTATCATCTCATTGTGGTTAGGAACAGTCTTGCCTGATGTGTAGGCTGTAATAATCAGCATAAAACAAGAAAATGCTGTTTTCTGGTAACTAGTTGTATCAAAGTATTGGTCAGTTCAGCCAGGACAAAGACTGCAACAGCTACGAGTCAGCTGGACCTGAGAAAACACATGTGAATCAGCTCCTGCAACAGAAAGCACTTCCAGCAAAGGTGTGAGAGACAAGGAACAATAAGACTTCTAAATATCAGAAGCAGAAATCAGAAATTCTCTGATTTACATAAAACTGAAACATTTTTGCCCATCTTGATTTCTTTGCACAGCAGTTTTGCAAATCTTAGCATACAGCTTGCTTTAGGATTCTCCTTACAGTTCCCATACTAAAAAATGTTACACCCTGAAAAAAGTCAAAGTAGTTCAGGGCTTTGGTAGTTTTTGTATCACAATGCTTTCTGTTTGGTGAGGGTTTTTTGTTTGTTTGATTTTTTCTCTTCAAATTACAAAATATCTCTATGGGAGAAAATCTGTTGGAGGAAAAAAACCCAGACTTAAAAGAACTGACAAAATCCCTGTTGGATCTCTGGAAATACAATCTGAATATCAAGCTATTTAGTTCCTTCATTTTACTCTCATAATTTTCAAGAGTCCATTGACCAGTTTCTGCCCTCAGTTACATCATTTAGTCATCAAATGTTAGCATATCATGGCTTCGGTCTTGAAACAGTTAGTTGTGAAAAATCTGAGAATTAAAATAAATAGTTGCTGGCTATTTTTAACTGTTAGTGTACTTTTTTTGTTATGATTTCAAGATCTCAGAATCTCCCTTAAAAACAAAGAAAGCAGCTAATATTTGCTTCTAATCACTTGTCTTCACAGGCTTTGGCTTGAAGAATAAAAAGCAAATATTAAAGGCCTTGATATGGAATAGCAGCAGCTGACAACGTTACAGTCACATCTGTCTAAACCTATTATCTCTGCATTTTGAGACCTGTGATTCTATTGTTTTCAAATGCTGATCTGGTTCTTCCAAAGCTTGTTCTATCCTGCAAGTATAAAAACATAAAAAGTTGTTAAATGAATAACCCTACTGAGAAAGCATAAAGTTTTGTCATAAAACCCCTAGAGTTGTTCCTACCACTCCATAACTTAGCATTTTTTTCATGATCATGGCCACCCACAGCTTCCAAATTCCCCTCAATGTTCCTAACTTCCACATATCTCCAGTAATCTCCCTCCCAGCTTCCAAATTCCCAATGCTTCCTGGCTTTGCTCTATGGCTTCCCATGAGCATTTCTAACGTTACCTCTCGATATTTTCTGAATACTGAATGTACTGAATATTTCAGTTGCTGCTTCTATTTCAGATCCACAGCTCTGTGATGTCCTATTCAGCTGCTATTGAAATCTCTTTGATCACTCAGCTCCACTTTTCTTAGTCAGCAGATAGGACTCCTCCTGTCTCACCAACTTTATTCTGGAAAACAACTCATTTCTCTCCCTACATTTGTTCTGAAGGAAGATGCTAAGCCAAACTGTCTTCATAAATTTCTCCTAATGTGCATCATAACACACCTTTCTTGACTCTAATCATCATCTAACAAGTGCATCTTGTGTAATGGACTGCATCATGATCAATGGAGAGGAAAAAAAGAATTTTCAAACTGCAGGTTACATAAATTTAACTGTTCACTTCTTGCTTTGCTATCTGGATATTTTCACATCAATGTTCTAGACTGTTCTTAGCCCCCTACCTATCTACACAAGGATGCTTTCTGCTTCTCTACCTGATTTTCTCTTAACTTGCCTTTACTTGAGCAACAGATGATTGTCTTTTGGTGCCAAGAAACCCAGAAAACTCATCATTATTTGTCCAGTCTGATCTTTGGTGGATGTGTTTCAACTGCACTAAGCAATCACTCATTATTCTTGTAGCTAGGACAAGTTACAAAACTTATGTATATATGTCACCTCATAATGCTGCAGTTTTCCCAGACAGCCTACAAAGCACCATTCAGGCATCTTATTTCTAAAGAAGTAATATCTGGAATCTGTAGTTTGTCCTAAGCATAACTTCTTTGCCACATAACCATAACTAAAATGGTCAGCTGTAGGTAGTATGGGTATTGTTATTGTTTTGTCCTAATGGTTTAGATCAGGATTATTGCAGTAGTAGTCCCCACCAGAGGATGATGAGTATTGATTTTATGATTGTAGAAGGTTGATTAATTGCTTTATTTTTACTATACTATACTATACTATATTACTATTTTAAATGAAAAACTTAGTGCTTTTGCTAGATATTCTGATACAGTTTTGACATAATTGGTTAAGTAATCAAAACACTATTGCTAGAGTTTAAATTTAGAAGCTAATTTTTGGTAAAACATCTCCATAACATTTACATGTGGACAACAACAGCTGTAGTAAGTGGAGATAGGAATGGTTTTCTCTGAGCTTTCTCACAGCTTGCCAGGAAAATCTTGGGAGAGAATTGTCTCTCTCTGTGCAGAGGATATGTGATTATCACACAGGATCCTTCCAGTAGGGTTTCCTGGTGAATCATGAAACATTTTCATTTTTTCAGAGATTTAGTTCCTACTACTAGATCATTTCTCAACTTTTTCTATGCTGGATTTTTCTCCCAAGAGTTTATTTCAAGTTTCTTTCTTAGGTCACTTTTCACTGTTTTTTGTTGTTGTTGTTGTTGTTGGTTTTTTGGATTTTTTTTTTGTTTGCTTCTTCCATGATTTTGCCTACTTGAACTACAAAGTAGCTCATAATCTTCATCCTTGAATGATGCATCTCTAACCTAGTACCAGGGCTTTTACCTCTGTTGCCCCAGTTAGTTGACAACCAGTCTT